GGTAGGGCGAGCGGGGTCGTGGCATAGCGCCTCGCACATTCGTCTTGCAAGTTTGCAACCGCTTGGAGGATCAAGCGTGTAGTCTTCAAAATGTGGCGCTCCCCTTCATCGCCGCGCACATGTGCCATCAGCATGTGCAACCGTGTCCAGGATGGAGTGGGGGTCGTTTTCAACTTGTGGATCTCGCCTGAAGGCCGCACACATTCGTTTGAAAAGCTTGCAACAACTTGAAAAATGGAGGGCAAATGTTCCAAAATGCGGTTCTCGCCTTAGCGCCACGCCAGTCGTCTTAAAAGATTGCAGCAGCATCTAGGTTTGAGCACAAGTGGTGTTCACATTGCGAGTTTCGCCCAGCGCAACACCCATTCGTCTCAAGAGCTTGCAGCAATATCAAAGAGGGGGGTGCTCAGATTCAAAATGTAGCTCTCGCTTCAGCGCCATGCACATCCGTTTTGAACGTTTGCAACCACTTGAAAGATGGGGGGCGGCGGGTCCTTAACAAAACGTGGCTCTCGCCGTCGTGCCGCGCACCTCCGTCGTAAAGCTTGACAACAAATCCAAGGCTGGATGGCGATCTTTCAAACCACGCTGGTCTCGCCGTAGCGCCGTGCACCTTCGTCCCCAAATCCTGCAACTGGTTCAAGCATTGAGACCAGGTCGCATTCAACATGTGGATCTCGCCTCGGCGATGTGCACAATGGGCCATCGCTAGACACCTCTGTAGCACTACGAACCCGAAGCTCCAACACATGTAGCACTGTACTGATACAGGGCGGCTCCTCCACAAAATGGAGCTCGTCCCGTCTGAGCTAGCGACCACAATCGCAAACGTGTGCAAACATAACGCGGATGTGGGACGGTCCTTCTTCGAACAGGGGATCTCGCTGGACAGCCCGCGGCCCGCTGAACTGCATGATCATAATGTTTCGCATTCCTGACTACGCACCAGGCGGATGCAAGTCAATTCCTTTTCAGAGCGCGGCCCTTTCCAAAATGGCAGGCCAAGCTGCGCTAGCCTTTCAAGGAGGGCGCTTCTTGCAGTGAAACACAAGCCTCATACAGGTGTATCTTTGATTTACTCGGGAACGCTCTCTCGTTTTTCCTTCATCCGCCCAAATCCTAGCTCATTCTAGATAACTCGCTCCTGTCGCACCCCCTGACGTGTCCGTGACGCGGGTCGGGCGTGTCGTCTGCGACCTCCTCACAACGTATGACCGTGGAGATGGGCCATAGTAACAATTACACGGGTGGGGCCGGGTCCAAAAATAGCTCTTGTCCCAGTGCCGCGAACACTCGTCTTGGAAGACAGCAACAGGTACAAGGATGGAGGGGGTCGTCTTCAGAATGTTCTCGCCTCAACGCCGCGAAGATTGGTCTTCGCAAACAGCACCAGTGACACGGATTGAGCACCAGTGGTTCTCGCCTGCGCGCCGCGCCCACTCGTGATGAAGCCGTTACGAGGATGGAGCGCGGCTTCGTCTCAACACAGGGCTCTCGTTTTACCGTCGCGCGCACATTCGTGTTCAAGAACCTTGCAACAACTACACCGATGGAAGGCGGATTATTTTCAAGATGGGGCTCTCGCCTTACCACGGTGCATGGGCGTCTTGAAAATGTTCAACCAGGACAGGTATGGGGTACTATTTCTTTTCAAAATTGTGTTCTCGCTTAGTACTGCCATAAGCCGATAAATCAGGCACGCGCTCGTATGCAAGAGCTGCTCAGATGGAAGGTGGCTCTTTTCAAAACTGAGCTCTCGTCTCACAGCTCCCTGGAGCTCAAGATCAGAAACGCAAGCTTGTGCAACAATAACACAAATGTGGCGGGATAGTTGGCCAACCGGGGATATCGCTCGACAGCGTGTTGAATTGGATGGTCGTACATGCTCGCATTCCCTGATTGATCGGCGAAGGAAGCAGGGCAGCTCGTTTTGAAACAGGGCTCTCGCCCGAATGGCAAGCCCACAGGGTGCAGCAGATCACGGTGGCGTTTCTTGTGGCGAAACGAGAAGTCCTGAGGGACTTCTGCGCAGGGGACGTGGGACGGGAGGATGTGCTGTAGCATCGTTGACGCATCCTGACGTGACTCTGGTCTTGTGGATGCCAAGACACTGGACACCCTAACAGTCCTATCATTGAATTTTACATGTGTCTAAAATGTGGGAAAATTGTTCCAACCATGTTCTAAACATGAAAAAACCATGTCTAAAACATGTTTAAGACATGTTTTGGGCATCTGGAAAGTATTTGGCAACATGCTTCCTCTCCGTTGGTCGTCCTCCACAACGACATAGAAGTCCTGAGGGACTTCTGCGCAGGGGACTTGGGACGGGAGGATGTGCTGCAACATCGTTGACGCATCTTGACGTTACAGTCGGACTCGATTGGACAGGACACGCCAGAGGACACATGACCCTTCCGAGGGCCACATTGCCACAGGAATGTAGGAAGCATGGGTCGCGAGACACAGGACACAATGGTACCCTTGAGTTGGCAGGCACGACCTACTAATCTGGGCCGACTGTACTCTGGTCAACTTCCTCCACACGATCATCCGCTTTCCCCTTCTCCTCCCTCCTCCTCCTCCTCCTCTTCCCGCCTGCTCCTCCCCCATCACTCCTCGTCCTCCTCCTTCCCTGTCCTGCTCCTCCCTCCTCCCTCCTCCCTCCTCCCTCCTCCTCCTCCTCCTCCTCCTCCTCCTCCCTCCTCCTCCTCCTCCTCCTCCTCCTCCTCCTCCTCCTCCTCCTCCTCCTCCTCCTCCTCCTCTTCCTCCTCCTCTTCCTACTACTCCAAAGTCTTGCTGCTCCCTCCTCCTGCCTCGCCCCCTGCTTATCCCGCCCCACCTCTGGCCCTCCCTCCCTCATCCTCCTTCAAGCGGGAGCGCTGGTCTTGTCGGGGGGCCGGTTTTCGGCGGCGCGCAGGAACGCCTGCTTTGAAGAAAAAGCGAACAGGTAACGAACAGAGGCGTCGTTGTTTTATGGGGGCCGAGCGAGAAAATATCGAGCGGGAGCCGACGAGCAAGAGCGCCAGTTTTGAGTAAAAGGCGAGAAAGTATGGAGCAAGAGCGTCGAGAGCGTCGTTGGTGTAGGGGGGCCGGTTTGCGAACCCGAGGCGGGAACGCCACTCCGGCGCAACAAAAAAAATCGAGGGGCAACCAGGAAGTATCGAGGGGCAGCGCTGGTTTTGTTCGAGGGACGGTTTTCGGCGGCGAGCAATACCTCTGGTCGCGAGTAAAAAGCGAAGCAGTGTCGAGCGGGAGCGTCGGTGTTGTACGGGCCCCAGTTTTGCGGACCCAAAGCGCGAACGCGACTCCTGAGTAAAAAGCGAGGAAGAATCTAGCGGGAGCGCTGGTTTTGTTGGGGGGCGTTTTTTCGGCAGCTAGTGCACCGGCCATGAATCAAAAGCGATGAAGTATCGAGCGGAAGATCTGTTGTTTGGGGACCAGTTTGGGCGCAAGCCCGAAACGACTGAGCGTGAGCCTGCCTTTCAAAAAATGTGCAGCCGGCGCCGAGGCGAGAACGCCAGAGCAAACCCATGGGGCCCCACAACAGCAGTTTTGGTTGAGGAGTTCACGTGCAGCAGGAATCCTCACCGCGGAAGCCCACTGCAGGCACGCGCCCAAGGATGGTACAAGACCGATCGGCCCTCTCGCTCCAGCGTGCACCTTCCGTGAACAGCTCGCCTGCGGGGGGTCTGTATGCCCCCCACGCTCGGAGAGGAAGCCCAGACCCCCCATCGTGGCCCTCCATCGCGGCCCCTGTTTAGGGTCGCCTACAGAGGCGGCCGTCGTCCTCGTCGTCGTCGTCGTCGTCGTCGTCGTCGTCCTCGTCGTCGTCGTCGTCGTCCTCGTCCTCGTCCTCGTCCTCGTCCTCGTCCTCGTCCTCGTCCTCGTCCTCGTCCTCGTCCTCGCTTCGTCGACAAGGGTGCCACATGACAGCTGCATCTCTCTCTTTTCTGGGAGCCGCCCGCGCGCAGACGAGGCAGACGCCTCCCCATGTGCGCGGGCGCCTCCCGCAAGGGGCCGCGGCGAGCGGGGGCGCCGCACAGGGTCTCCTGCGCGCCCCGCCGCCTCGGTCCGCTGGGTGGGCGGCACGCGGCACGGAGGCCGTCGGCTGTCGCGAGGTCTCGGAGGAGACACAGAGACCACCGCCGCCGAGAAACCCATCGGCAGGGGCCCGACCCCTGGGCGGTGGTACGCCCGAGCGTCGCCCACTACCGGAGGACGCTCGGGCGCGGCACCGCCCAGGGGTGGTCCCCCCGACGGGTTCTCGGTGGCGGTGGCGGTGGTCTCCGTTTCTCGTCTGAGGGTTTGCATCTCACGGACGCGCGTTGTGGAGCGCGGCGTGCCTGGTGCGCACGTCGTCCATGGTCCTCTGCAGGCTCCTCAGCCGGGTCTGCAGGGCCGTCGCGTTTGCGGCCATAGCGTCGGGGCCGTCCAAGGGCAGCTCGGGCATGGGCGGCAGGGAACTGGCATACCCGCCGCCGACGGGTTCTGCCTCACCGCCAGCGCCACCGGGGAGTCCTGGCAGTGCGCCGCTGGAGCTGCCGCCAGCGCCCCTGTGGACCCCCGTGAGCGCCCGCGGACCCTCGTGGTCCTCGATGGCCGCCCGGGCCCGCGTCAGCCTGGCCAGCGTGTCCGCGACGACCTGCGACATCGCCCCGGCGTCCTCCTCCTCGTCCGACGGCGCCGCGGAGGCCCCGAGGCGCGGGGCCGCCCAGGCGAGCGCGGGCCCGCCGAAAGGAGCACCGAGGGCAGCGCCCGCCCCCCCGAGGCGCGGGACCGCCGAGGGCGGCGCCGCGGGAGGCGCCGCGGGCGGCCCGGGGCCAGCAGGCGCCGGGAGGGCGGCGGCCCCGAGGCGCGGCGGGCCCGCAGCGGGGCCGCCGCCGCGCTGCGGCGCCGGCGGCGCTGGTGGCGCGGGCGCGCCGGCGTTCCACCGGCGGGCACCGCCGCTCGGGCTCCGCGGCACTCGCGCGGCCGGCGGCGGCCCGGGCTGCGCCGGAGCGGGGGGCAGCGCCCTGCCGCTGGCCGCGGCGGGCCCAGCAACACGGTCGCATTCGTGGCCCTGCGCGCCGCCGTGTTGCTGCTGGGCCGCGCTCTGGCCGCGGCGGGCCTGGACCTTCGCATCTCGCGCCGCGTCCTGCGCGCCCTCGTACTCCTCGAGGAGAGCATCGTAGTCCGTTGCGAGTTTCCAGAGATCCACGGCCTTGACCTCCCTCGACCAGGCCGCCACGCAGCGGTACAGCAGCATCTTGCCTTCGAAAGAGAGGCAAGCCAAGGAGGCGCCCTGGCACTTTGTCTGCCACTGGTTCCCAGCGTCTCTGATGCCCTCGGAATAGCGTTGCCTCAGCTCGAGCAGTTCCTCGGAGTTGTGCGCCTGCAAGTCCGCCACCGTGCCTTCAGCACGCAGTGGGGTGCCCTGTGGTTTTCGCAATTGTGAAAACTGCGTGCTACGAGGGCAATCGGTATTGCAAGGGCCCATACAACCGATGTGTCGAAACCCTGGGCACTTCCAGAACTCCCGAGTGTCGCGTGAGCCTTCCAGAAACCGAAACCAATGGGTAACATCACACACACGCACTTTTGTGGGGGGGACGGTCGCGACCTTGCGCGCAGCAGCGAGGCGGAGAAAGCCACCCGAACAACCAGAAAACGCGCGCGGCTGGCCCCTCAGAAGCTGGGGCACGGATCCAAACCCACACACACACACATACACACACACACACACACATACACACGATTTTGCCGGCGGCAAGGCGGAGGCGATCCGCACCATCTCTGGGCGAATCGGGGGCACCGATAACCGTGTGCCCCGGATAATCATCACCCGCGATAGTAAAGTTCGGGGGTCTGGCGGGGATAGTCCACGATTTTCCCGGGGAGTGTGATGTTAGTTATAAGGTATGATGATGATGATGATGATGACGCTGATGATGATGACGATGATGATGATGATGATGATGGTGAACCTGGGCGCTCGTGCAGACTGCCCTTGTAGGTCCTGGCACAACATTGACTCGAGAGATCTCGAGGCTCGTGGCTACCACTTGCCTGCGCAAGAGAAGTCCTTGGCCGTTCTGGCCAAGAAACCTCTCTTGCGCACAGCTTCAAACCACTCGCCCATGCAGGCTCGGCACCCTTTGGCCCTGCCGCATGTTCGTGACTTGGGCAAAATGAACTGGTGAGAACCCCACAGCCCTGCCACACGCTCGTGATTGCGGAAGCTGATATAGTGAGACCACCATGGCCATGCTCAGCGTTTTTGATGCTGTTGCTAGTCAACATGAGATTATAGCAACTTCGATTCGCAACTTCCCCCGTGGATTAGCAAATTCGGCCTCCGCGCCCACCTCCACAATTAAATCCGATTGAACCGGGGAAAAAAAAGGGGGTTTAAGGGGGGGTCTGTTTTATTATCTGGGTCACTTGGCTTGGTTAGGCACATTGTCTGGCGTGTCTGTCTGGCGTGGTACCATATATCTATGTGTATATATATATATATACACACACACACACACACACACACACACACACACACACACGTACGCACGCACGCACGCACGCACTTTTGTGGTGGTTACGGCCTCGCGCGCAGTGACGAGGCGGGGAAAGTCTAGCACGGCGGCCGAGGCGCACGCACTGGCTCAGCGGGAAACAAAATAACACATGTACACACACACACACATACTGCTTTTCACCATCTCTGGCCTCCGGGTGTGCGCATGACCAGGTGCCCAGGGCCTGGCCCCCCCCAAGACGACCCCAGTGACAGGACCCTCCGATGAGGCCCCTCCAGGAGGCCTCTGGCCCGCGACCCCGCCGGCCACAGTAGCGGATCGGGCCCGAGGCGACCAGATACTCGATCGTCGCGGACGACTGCAGCTGCGCGGCCGCGCGCTGCCACGCGAGCAGCGGCCTCGCCAGCTCCAGCCTCTGCCGCGCCCGCACCAGCAGCGCCGCGGCGCGGCTCACGGCCAGCTCCCTCTCGCCCGCCATCCTCTTGACCTGTGGGCTGCACGCAAGAGTGCCCCCGGGCAACGAGTGACCTCTGGTGTGCGCCTCTGGGGGGGCCGCGGCGAGGCCAGACCCGAGCGCGCAGAGCACGGCCGTCGCACCGCAGTCCACCCTCTGGGGGGCCACGGCGTGCCCGCAACGAGGGGCACCCCGGCGACAGACCACTTTGGCGTGCAACCGAGGCCTGCGCCGAGCGCAGCCGCTGCGCCTCCTCGTGATCCTCCCGGTACCGGCCGGCCCTGCGGGCCTTGGCGTCGGCGCCGGCGGCGGCCTGCCACGCCAGCACGTGGAGGGAGAGCTGCAGCAGGCGCAGCCTCCGCTCCAGCTGCGCGGCCACGAAGCCGCCGACCCTGGACGACTGCGCGCGTTGCGCGCGCCGCCCGTCGTCCCGCAGTGACGCGTTCTTCTGGCTCAGCAGCTCCCGAGCGCGGTCCATCTGCCTCGCCCGCTGGCTGGCGACGGCCGCGTGCCGCCAGGGGGGCAGGCAGCGCTGCACCAGCAGCAGCGAGCCGAGCTCCGAAATCTCGCCGTAAGACCTGTCGACCCAGGCCTGCGTGCCCGAGGCCATGGCGCTCACGGCGGCGGCGGCTTCCCCCTGCACCTTCTCGCGCCAGGCATTCAGCTTGCCCTCGCGGAGGGCATCGGTGGTCTCCCGGCGCCAGGACACCAGCCAGACGCCCAGGAAGTCCAACCTCCACCGGCGGTCGTAGATGCGCAAGATGGTGGTGGCTTTTCTGTTGAATTTGGCCTTCAAGTTGCGAACCTCAGTGCTGATCTCTCGGTCTATCTCGCCATCTGTCCTCCTGAACTCCACCCGCAGCTGCGCACAGTACGCCGCGACGAACAGAGCGGCAAGCGCCCGCTTCAGCAACGACGCGTGCTCCTTGGGTCCGATGAGCCTCTCCAGAACGAAGATGCCCACGAGTGCGCCGTGCTGGTGGCTCTCTCTGCGCCCCTCCTCCAGGCGGAGACGGTGCACGCTGGGCGGGATCAGCCGCGCCTGGCGCCAAGCGTGGATCACGACCATGCAGAGGGTAACCGCAGAGCTCGTCTCGTGGAGCGCATAGCTGAAGTCTGCGATTCGCATCCTGATCCTCTCTGCGATCTTCTCCAGCTTGGCCACGTCGCCGTCGTGCCTGGCCGTCAGACTCGCGTACTCCGCCCTGTAGCGCTCCTGCCCCTGCTCGTGCCGCGCCCGCGCGCGGGCCTCGCGCCAGCCCCGGAAGCACGTGGCCAGCCAGACTTGGTAGCCGAAGGTGGAGATCCAGTTGGCCGTGCGCAGCGCCTGGGCGTCGCGGAATCGGAGGTCCGCGCGCTCCTTCCTCGCCAGGTCCTGCTGGAACTGCGCGTCCTTCGCGTCCAGCTCCCTTCGGTGGCCGCGCATGGTGCGCATGTCTCGGGCGATGCGCAGCCAGGCGTAGCACAGGCCCAGCAGCATGAGCTCGTTGCCGCTCTGCTGCAGCTCCCGATGCAGCCTGTCCGTCACGGAGCTGGCCTGCGCTGCCAGCTCCATCCTCAGCTCGTCGCGCAGGCGCGACTCTTTGTGCCTCCACTCCAGGAGCTGCTGCTCGACCCGCCCGAGCCGTGAAACCACGCGCCATTGCAAGAAGCTGCTCTGCAGCTGCATCGTGGAACGGCGCTTGCACATGGCGAGGCCCAAGCAGGCGAGGTAAGCCTCGGCCCGGAGCTCCTGCTTGCGCCTGAACTCGTCGAGGACCTTGGCGTCGCGCGCCTTGGACAGCATCTCGAAGGCCTCCTCGCGGTGGAGCCGCTTCATGTGGCTCCACGCCTGCAGGAAGCGCGACACGAACGCCCTCTGCATGTGCCGCACGTGGCGGTCGCCGTACTCCAGCGCCAGCTCGCGCCGAGAGCCCGCGTGCACCTCGGCGAGGCGCACGAGCTCCTCCTCGTGCTGCACGCACATGTCGCCCACGCCCCTGGCGTGCTGCAGCTCACTGTGCCGCTCGCGCTCGTCGCGAAGGTAGAGCTGCCACGTGAAGATGCAGAGCTGCCCCAGCAGCCGCCGGTCCAGGACCTCCCTGCCGAGCGCCAGGCGCTCAGCCTGGAGGCGCCCCTGCTCGTTGAAGTGGTGGATGATCTGCGCCACGTCGCCCGCGAAGGTTCGCTGGCCCGCGGGGGCAACCGGCGCGCGCGACGTCTCCCCAGGCATGTTCGCGTCGTGAAGAAAGTCACGACGAAGGGCCTGGGGCCGTTTTCGGCCCCCGGGGGCCTCGCTGGGCCCCGGGACTGTCGGAAAACAACTCGGGATGAAAAGGTTGCCCTTGGAAAAATGTCGGGGAATCCAGGGACCCCGTAGTCAAAAAATCAAAACATCCGATGCCTGGGCCCCCCTCCCCGAACTCCTCCCTATTGGCGGAGGGGATCGATTTGCGTGATTGGCGTGTGCCAGATGCCGCACAGACAGCCCAAGAGAGCCATGGGACGCCGTCGGGGCGGCCCAAGAGGCCTGCAAGAGGAACCCAGAGGCCCCAAGAAACCGAGTCCCCAGAGAGCCAAATCATCGAAACACGCATCTGAGATTCCTTGTTGTTCGTCTCCCGCGCTTGAAACCAAAGATGGAGTCGGGGAGTGCTGGCCCAAGAATTCCCAAGACGGCCAAGGCACCCCCAAAGAAGACTCCAAGAGAATTCAAGGTCACCCAAGAAGACTCGACACGGATCCCAATACACGATGACTCCTCCACCTCCTCTGCTTCTCTCTCGCTCGCCCTCTCTCTCTCTCTCTCTCTTTTTCTCAGTCTCGTATTCCCCAAGCAACGTTGGCACGTAGGGTTCTTACGTCTCTTCTAGAGAACTGGGCCTGGCTGTCGGTCTGGCGGCTCCGTGCTCGCCGTCGCCGCCTCGTCGCCGCCCGTCGTCTGGGCCTGGCTGCCGGTCTGGCGGCTATGTGCTCGCCGTCGTCGCCCCACCGCTGCCTCTTGAGGTCCTCTTGGCTGGGGTCCGAGTAGATGGGGTCGGAGGATCGCGCCGCATCGGCGATGCATCGGCGATACATCGGCGATACATCGGCGATGCATCGGCGACGTCGGCGGTGCATCGGCGGTGTCGACGTGGAGCAAATCGGGCTCCACATCGAGCCGCATCGGCGATGCATTGGCGATGCGGAGCGATCCTCGGACCCCATCTGCTCGGACCCCATCTGGGAGGCCCAGAGCCTCGTCGCCGCATCAAGGAGTGCACCACATCCGTCACTGTGCCTGCAGCTGGTTGAGGCGTGGAAGGATGCCAAGGGCTGCCTGGCAGACTTCCGTAGTCTTCTAAGGGGCCACCAACTCTTCGCTCAGCAGACATGCGACGGCACCACCCCCACTCCCGAGGACAGGAATCCCGCCCAGGCCTCCAAGAGATCTCCAAGACAGCCCAAGGTCGCTCCAAGACGCCCAGGATGGCCCCTAGACTGCCCAAGGGGCACCGAACAAGCCCCAAAAGCGCTACAAGAAGGACCCCATGAGAACCCAAAGAAGCAAACATCATCGATGCGCATGTTTTACGTGATCGCCGTTTGAAGATTCCGACACTCCGAGAGGGCCCCAAAGACACCCCAAGACCGCCCCAAGACGGGTTACGATCCGTGCCAAAGAACACCATGCGGGTTACTCTCGCGCGTCGGCGGCTCGCGCATGTCGAACTCCTTCCGAAACCGTCATCACTAACGCGGGAACGCTGTTATCGTCGTCGGCGTGATCAGCATCGGCGCCGTCACTGGCCTTGCCGTGGTCGTTGTCATCATCGCCACCAGCATCGCTACTAGCATCTACCGTTGCCGTTGCCATGATACCGCGCCCGCCCAAGTCGGCGACTCGCACCGAAGTGCCCGCTGGGAAATGCCCAGCGGTCAGCGCCGCCACGGCCGCGCTGGTCGCGCCAAGCTAGCTGGCCGCTTCGCGCGTGAGCATGCGATATAAACAAGTCTATAGTTATTTGTACTTGTACATGTATGAACATATGCAAACGCATCCGTACACATGTATGTGGATGTTTCGGTTGATGTTTCTCTTTCTCTCTCTCTCTCTCTTTCCATCTCTGTCTCTCTCTCTCTCTCTCTCACTCGCTATGCGGTTCTGTATCGCGCCCTCCTGCTCTTTACCATTCATCGATGGAAGCCTACAGACGTCAACCTAAGTCTCAAGAATACCCATGGATCTGCGAATATGACGTCAGCCTTTCGAATGTGTTCGGCCTCGGCACGTTTCGCCTTGACCTCGTCCGCGAAGCGCTGGAGGTTAGCGAACTGCTGCCACTTCGCCAGGCAGGTACGCAGCAGCCCCGTCACGACCAGCCTCTCGCTGCGCCTCGACGCGAGCTCTCCGGCAGCATGCATGCGCTCCTGCGTATGCTGCTTCAGCTGCGCATTCTGGTCTCGGTGCTCTCGTTCCGCCTCCTTCTGCTGGCGAAGCATGATCAGGAACATAGCCTCTCGCTGCCACGCACACCAGCAGATCCTAACGTTGGAGACCTGCCGCTTCTTCCGGAGCTGCTCGGCAGTCTGCTCGGCCGTCCTGGTCGCAATCTCCAGCCGCTGCTTCTTCAGCTGCGCGCTGGCCTCACGGTGCTCCCTCGCCGCTTCCTCCTGCTGCCGCAGCATGGCCTCGAACATCACCCCTCGCTGCCACGCAGACAAGCAAGTCCTCACGTTGAAGGCCTGGCGCTTCCTGCGGAGCTGCTCGGCAGCCTGCTCGGCCGTCCTCCTGGACGCCCTCTCCAGCCCCTGCTCCTGCTGGCCTCCGCGGCGCGGGCTCCTCCTGTAGGCAACGCCCGCGTGCCGAGGGCCGCAGGCGACGCCGCGCCAGTCGGAAAAGGACCACAGCAGACACCGCTGCACGTGCAACCTCTCCGCCAGGCGACCGCACAGCCGCCTGAACGCCCCGCCGCCTGCGGCTGCCGCCGCCGCGTCGGTGCCGCCGGCGCCGCCGCAGTCGCGCCAGCCACCGAGGCAGCGGCGGAGCAGGCGCTGGCAGACCCTGCGGTGGAACATCGCCGCCATGCTCTCCATGATGGCCTCGCCGCTCCCGCGCTGCTGCTGCCGCAGCACCACCGCGGCGCCCCCGCGATCCGCCTGGAGGCGCTCCGCGGGCAGTGCCCGCGCGAGCGCGTGCCCCTCCGCCGGCGGCGCGGAGGGCGGCGGCCGCGAGCCCGCCGCGGGGCCCGCCTGCGCCTCCGCCCGCCCGGGCGTCCTCGCCCTGCCGGCCGACGCGGCGGCCGCGGCCGCTGCTCCCTGGGCCCTGGCGGCGTCCGAGCGCCGGGCGTAGACGGACGCGGCCGCCACCTCGTGGGTCGACTCAGAGGAGGGGGTCCAGCCGAAAGGGGGTGGTGCAGCAGGTTTGGGGCAATGGTCTTGCACATGCCCTGCGCCGGAGACAGGTGGTGCACCGTCTGGTATCTGACTCATGCGTTGCGCGCGAAAGTTCAGCAATACCTTTGCGCACCTGAGTGTACCGCACGCCCCGAAGCTACTGCAACCCCACCAATCGATTGCACCAAGTTTGTTGCACCACCCCCTTTCAGCTGGACCCCCTTTCCCAGACCCCCGACGTCATGATTTTGTTCATGACGTCGACCCCCCGAGGTTTCTCCCTATCCCCGGGGACCGGCATTTCCTCTTGAACCGCTCTTGGACGGCCCCGAGGCCCAGGAAGGCGTCACAGCGCCAGGGGGTCTGGGCCCGGGCTGAGCAAGACCTCGGAGCGCCGGCCGTAGAGGGACGTGGCGGACGCCCGGGCCTTCGGCGCGGAGGACCGGGCCGCGACGGGCCCCGAGGCCTTGGCCAGCGAGGCGCGGGCCCCGGGGGCCGCGCCCGGGGCCTGCTGCGAGCGCCTCGGAGGCCCGAGCATGCGGGGCACGGCGCGCCGGCGGCCGCGGCGGCAGGAGCGGCGGGGCGCCGCGGCAGCGCATGGCCGCGCCTCGCGCGGGTGCGCCGCATCCCGCGCCTGGCTCCTGAGCCAAAATGGCTGCGAGTCCTCTCTGAGTCCAAAACCCAGGGACCCCCTGGCGCTGTGGAAAAACACGACGGGAGGTTCTTCGCTATTTTCTGCCTCCAGGAGCCCTTCCTGGGCCTCGGGGCCGTCAAAAAACGACTCAGGATGAAATACCGGTCCCTGGGAATAGGTCGAAACCTCTGGGGGTCGACGTTGTGAAGAAATCACGTCATCGGGGGTATGGGAAGTCTGGTGGCCGAGTCCCGGCGAGGGAAGCAACGGGCGGAAGAAGATGAGACTCGAGACACGCCGCCGAAATGCTCAGTCACGCTGATGCGCGCCGCCTCCAGAATGTGGTGGGGGCCTCACTGGCTTCACCCACACCCAGAGACTGAGAGACGGCTCGCTTCACTTTCACTGGCTTCACTGGCTTCGGACGAGCCAAAGGTGAAGGAGCAGGGGTTGGATGCTACTGCAGCCCCCCTTGGGTCACTGCGGAGCAACCGGCTGTTCCTGTCCATGTGGCCTGCAATGTGTTGCTGTGGCCGACCCAGTGCATCCGTTACTGCAAGACGGCCTGGGTGTGGGCCTGCGCATCAAGCTGTGCCCAAGTCGGGGAAGTCTTAGAGGTCATGTTGTTGATGCGCTGCCCACCTACATCCTGGGTTGTCCGCCACCTGTTCACACAAGTGGAACTCAGGCCTACGTGGACTTGCGAAGCGCGGATGGGAGATGGGGCGTGGCAACCGCAGGGTGAACTAGCATAGTGCGAGGTTGGCAAAACAACAAGAGCTGAGTACAAATCATGCACGGCCTCTGCATGCAGCACCCATGTTGGAACGACATCCACCGCGGTATGGGGCAGGTGCAAAACACCACGCTTTCAAGATAATGCAAGATACTTGCAAGACAGCCTGAGACGACCGCAACACAGCCCAATTTGGCCTCCAAAACATCCCCAAGCCGCCTCCAGTGCGGACCGATACGCCCGCAAGAGACAACCTAAGACGTCTCGAGAGACAGTCGACGCTCTGTCGATCGAGAGGAAGGGGCGGTGGGAGAGAAAGGGGGTGGGGGGGGGAACACGGGGGGGGGGGGGGGGGGGGAGGGGCAAGGGGGGGAAGGGGAGGGGGGGGGAGGAGGGGGGGGGGGGGGGGGGGGGGGAGGGGCGGGAAGTGGGAGGGAGGAGGGGGGGGGGGAGGGGAAAGGGGGGGGCGGGGCGGCAGCTCTCGACACGCGCGCCACCCCTGGAGCTACGCTGGAGCTCATGGTCTCGTTTGATGGGCTTGTTTTCCACCGCCACCACCATAAGTTGGAGGAGGAGGGGGTCCTCCTCTCCTCCTCCTCCTCCTCCTCCTCCTTCCTTCTCCTCCTCTTCGTCCTCCTCTTCCTCAGCCTCCTCCTCCTTCCCCCCTCCAACTTATGGTGGTGGTGGTGGTGGGAAACAGACCCATCATCGTTGTTCGCATTAGTGCCTGTTGCCCGCGCCCCCCCCATCCCCCCACCTGATGACATCACGATTCGTTCCAGCGCCGTCTGGGCACTCACGAAACGCTCGCACCAGCCTCGTCAGAAGTAAACTGAAACGTTGTTCGAGATCGAAGCGCTCGATAGTTCGGGCACCTGTCAGAAAGCGCGTTCTTCAATGCTGTGAGGGTACGGCCGGATTTCGGACACCCCTGTGTCTGGGGCCGAATACCTCATGCCAGCATCGGAATAGCGCCCACCACACAAGCACCACCTCATACCAGCATTGAAATTGAAACCGTCAACTCATGTTTGACGAGTCAAGTAGGCACTCGGAAACATTCTCAGACTGTGCGGGCGCGAATCGTGACGTTACTGCCCCCCGTCCCCACCCCCCGGAAAACCCGGCCCTTTCCCCTAAGGAGGCTTGTCATCCTAAATCCTGATTTGAAGGTCCCGGGGCCCGGCGAGGGCCCCTGGAGCCGAAAATGGCCAGGAACCTCTGTCTGAATCTTTTCACACGCGGTCATGTCTGGGACGCTTGCTTTCGCCACGGGATGACAAAATGTATCTTTTAGTAATTCCCACTCACTACGGACATTGACCTATTCGGCCACACTGGCGCCCTCTGTCGACAAGGGGGGGCACAATCTGACTATTCCTCCGCCCGGGCGTCCGCCCGGGCGCCCGGACACCCGGGCGCCGGCCTGGACACCCGGACACCCGGGCACCCGGGCACCCGGACACCCGGACACCCGGACACCCGGCCGGACACCCGGACACCCGGGCACCCGGACGCCCGGACGCCCGGACACCCGGGCACCCGGGCACCCGGACACCCAGACACCCGGACACCCGGGCACCCGCACACCCGGACACCCGGACACCCGGACACCCGGGCACCCGGACACCCGGACACCCGGACACCCGGACACCCGGGCACCCGGGCACCCGGACGCCCGGACACCCGGGCACCCGGACACCCGGACACCCGGACACCTGGGCACCCGGACATCCGGACGCCCGGACGCCCGGACACCCGGACACCCGGACACACGGACACCCGGGCAACCGGACGCCCGGACGCCCGGACGCCCGGACGCCCGGACACCCAGACACCCGGACACCCGGACACCTGGACACCCGGACACCCGGACACCAGGACACCGGGGCACCCAGACGCCCGGACGCCCGGACGCCCAGACGCCCGGGCACCCGGACGCCCGGACGCGCGGACGCCCGGACGCCCAGACACCCGGACGCCCGGACACCCACGCACCCGGGCACCCGGGCACCCGGGCACCTGGACACCCGGGCACCCGGACGCCCGGACGCCTGGACACCCAGGCGGCACCCGGGCACCTGGGCACCCGGGCACCCGGACGCCCCAACACCCAGGCGTCCGGGCACCCGGGCACCCGGACACCCCGACACCCAGACCTACACCCTGGCACCCGGGCACCCAGGCACCCGGCCGGGCACGGGGAAGATCCAGACGAAGATGTGGGTGAAGGAGGAGGAGGAGGAGGAGGAGGAGGAGGAGGAAGAGAAGGAGGAGGAGGAAAACGGACAGACATAATAGCCTCCGCGGATGTCTGGAGCGTCTGGGGGGCATCTTGGGTGCTTCGGGGATCCTCCTGACGCCTCTTGGGGGCCTCTTGGAGGTGTCTTGGGAGCCTCTTGGAGGCTTCTTGGGCGCCTCTTGGGGTCCTCTTGGAGCGCTCTTGGGAGCTTTAGGGGCGCTCTCCTCGAGAGAAATACTGTCGGTTTCGATCCCGTCATTGAGTATAGCAATGGTATCAGCACGAGTAGTACCACTTTAAACACCACTCGTAGTAGTCCGGGCAGTGGAGCAGCACTCCCGCCGCGAAAACAACGTCGTCGTCGCCGCCGCCGCCACCGCCGCCGCCACCGCCGCCGCCGTCGCGACGTCGTCGTCGTCGTCGTCGTCGTCGTCGTCGTCGTCGTCGTCGTCGTCGTCGTCGTCGTCGTCGTCGTCGTCCTCGTCGTCGTCGTCGTCGTCGTCGTCGTCGTCGTCGTCGTCGTCTCGTCGTCCTCGTCGTCGTCGTCGTCGTCGTCGTCGTCGTCGTCCTCGCCGTCTTCGAGGATGTCAGGTTTCTGAATGTTTTGGGCCCCCGCTGGGCTTCAGAGGCGTTCCGAAGGTGCCCAGGGACTTGTGGGGACTTCCGGAGACTTCCGGCAGTCCGGCATTTTTTAGATAGTGTGCGAACCATTCGATTTCGTCCTGCTGTTCTCTCTCCGCTGCCGCCGCCGGCGCCGCCGCCGCCGCCGCCGTCGTCGTCGTCGTCGTCGTCGTCCCGCTCGTCGTCGTCGTCGTCGTCGTCGTCGTCGTCGTCGTCGTCGTCGTCGTCGTCGTCCCGCTCGGCCGGCCCGCCGGCCGCCTCGGCTCGCCTCGGCTCGGCTTGCGAAGGATGATGATGATGATGATGATGATGATGATGATGATGATGATGATGATGATGATGATGATCATGATGATGAGGAGAAGGAGGAGGAGGAGGAGGAGGAGGAGGAGAGCGAGGAGCCGGGG